ACGGTAGCGCTCACCCCTTAGAGCAAGCATCTTGTCATTGCATTATCTTGTGCTCTTGTTCTTCAGGAGAAAGGCAAGCTAAAACAGGACGTGTTCTCTGGTGAAGCATTGTGGTCAAGGTCCAATGAAAACAACTGTTGCAAATCACAGTAAGACGTGAAGAGATATTCAGGTTTTTCACACGGGACCCCTCGAGGCAGCAACGATTCAGGATGATTCAGGGACACTCACTTCCATGCGGTACAGCATCCAAAGAAGTCCCAGGCATTCCCTTCTCCACCCTTGCTGGTATGGAACTTCAAGCAGTCATACTTGTTTTTCAGGATCTCCACCACACCCTCCACTCCTGCTTGAAACATATGAAAACACCGGAATAGATTGGTGATTGGGACAAAGCTTCAAGGGGTCGGGCACGCCGTCAGGGATATTGGATGATAACGAAAACGATGAATGACAATGAATGAGGATGAATGGCTTCGTCGTCGATGTTAACAGCTATTTCAACAGTGCTCCCCGACCCTTCAAGGGTATGTCCCACAACCCTCCAAGAAATGAATGGCACGAAGTTCTGAACGCTTCAAACGGAACATGGATAGAAGCTGTCGCCTTCTTGACCAGAACAAAATCATTAAGTTGTGAGTAGTAGTTTATATTAGTTTATGTACATCATCAAACGAAAATATCTGTTGGAATGCCAGGTTGCCAAATCCGAATCAGAATGCCCCTCATTCGTTGGAGGGTGCAACTCGTTTTCTAGATCACAATCCGTCTCAAATTGGTTTGCCGATATGTTTGTTGGTTAAACATGGTGAAACCATATCTTCACTTTTTTGGCAAATGGTCCAGTCATTGTGCTTACAGAATAAAGTCAAGCAAGAGGGGATTGCATGGATTGATAGCGTTACCACGAGTACCCAGTACAGAATGATTCCCCGCGTCTCTATTCCATTCTATTAATATCTATCAATATTAATATCTATAATATTGATATCTATAATATTAATATCTATAATATTAATGTCTAGATTAATCAACATACTATTCCTAGTTTTTAGGCCCAACAAAGGCTCTCACTAGAATGCCGTGCACACAGCATCTCTTCCCATCTTCTCCTTTGACCTTGCCGACAAGTGTTGACTTGTCTTCTTCGAGCACGTGCTGAACCTGGAAGACTCCCACCACAACAGAGGTAAACCTTTGGTCCTTGGATTTCCTGTCCATTGGTCCTAGCTTCATCTGGCCAAAATATCGGCTAGCGAAGGATCCAAAGTGGAAAGCATTGATGCATGCAGGCTTTCAAAACTATACTAGATATATTAGCCACTCAACACACGTGCATCGGATGAAATCTTCTGCAAGCAAGCACTGCGGTTGGAATTGAGAAAGCGATCACGAAGGACAGCATGACAGCATCATGTTTCACAAAAACTCATGTGCTCAGAGATGTTTGAGCGCGTTGAATCCTTTTGTGAACCTGTCTTAGAAATTGACTTACATTTCACTGAGACCAAGGCTCCAAAACCACCAGTACGCCTTTGCGTATCCGGAACCTGGCAGGTTGTCACATGCGCGCTGCACTGCCAGCTTTGAAAGCAGGAGATCTCATTGAAGTTCATTGAGCCAGTAAATCAAATGTAAATCAACAGTAAATTTATGGCGAAACTGCGCCGTTTCAATTAGCGCAGGCTGCCACTGCCACGGCTACACTCCCAACGAATCCGAAAAACATTGAACTCTCAATGTCAGTCCGAGACGGCTTGACTTGGTTGTGGGGGCCAAATGGCCCAGCACATACTTGCAAAACATAGATGTAAAATGATAGAAATTTTACTATATAAACTAACTAATCTAAAATATATGTAATGGAATCCATTGCAGCACCATACAATGTCAGCACAATACAATGTACTCGGTATGCACACACACACACACCTGCTCAGACTTGTCTTATCGAATTTTGCTGTGGAATGCATCTGTCGTGCACAAACACTTCAGTTATACTGTTACACCTGGCAGGAGGGCTTGGTGTCGAGTGAAAGGAAAAAAATCGTCGCCACCTTGAAGAATAGAATAAAATCCTTCGTCGCCACCTTGAACAATAGAATAAAATCAATAAGCCAGGAAGAATCCCACAATATAAGATAATATAAGCAGAAAAATGAAATGGACAAGAGGTCTCAGATTGCGCCAACTGTGGAGAAAGATAAATGAGAAGTCACCTTCAACCGTTCATGTGCTTAAGGGATTCTCGTTGACAAACGGCATGGTGGTTCTTGGGTTACATCCCATCACGATTCAAAAATTGCAGGCACGTTTGCACAGCAACTTGGATGGGTCTTCGTTGGCCCATGCCATCCAAGTGCCCATGGACCCCCTGCTTGAAGAAAATACCATGAGAAATATTTTGGGAATACTGAAGCGAAAAAAGGCTGAAGGAGAATCTTGCATAAAGAAATTGTGATGAATCAACTCAGGCGACATCACACCGAAGGAGCTTCCAATTGAAATTCACAGGTACAAGTTTTACATCTATTGGGATGGCTCACATCGCAGCCGACCACACGATTGAAGAAAGCCTGGCAGCTTGAAGCGGCAAAGCGAGCAAAGCTTAAGGCGACCAAGTGACCATCAAGCTACGTTGCTATTCATCATGACCCCAATGAAGCAGGAAAGACGAAACTGGATGAAACTGAATGAATTAATTGGATGAAACTCTAGTTGCCTCACAATGCGGCAGATGGTTACAAAAAAAACAAACAAACACTTCAGGCAAAACAGCTTTGTTTCACTTTTTGAACAGTTTGCAGCGTACAGGATGACATAGTAGAGGTCCAAGGATCCAAGCAATTTCACTCGCTCAACTGGCATGGGCTGCCTGAACTGTGTCTGCAAGTTCTGGTTTGAAGAGGGGCTTTGCAGCCGCCTGACATGCTGCAACGAGTGTCTCATGTTTCAGAGCGACTTCGTGACCCATCCTCCACCACACATACTTGATCATATTTGACTAATCTTGCTGATTGCATCTCAATACATGGCACTGGACTATGTCTTTCAAAACAGTTGAGATTCCTAGGGCCTACTGTGCTTCATCAGCCCCCCTGACCTTGGCTTCCGCAAATGAGTTGGCTTGCCTGGCATCTGTAGCTTAGGCTGTAACACTAGGCAAGGGGCAACACGACGTGAGAACCAAAGCGGCGGGAACGTGGCAGGGCGGCTCCCGCCGTCGTGCAAACATAACAGAAACAGTGCTTGCAAGCTCCCGGCTCCTGCCAGGTGCAAATTCGAGCATGATCAGATATGATTAGGCCCAACATAGGCCCAACAAGAATATACAAGAATAACAAAACTGTTCCTGTGTTTCGTTTCAAGACCAACGAGCATGCTGACTTATCAATAATTACATTGAGTATCTGTACATATCTGTACTGTCCTCTTCGCACGTGTTTGAATGACATGCACAGGATCCTTGGTTGACACAGTTGACACACACACACAAACACAATTGAATTCGTGATCATTCCGTGATAGCCTTTGCATGCTGTAGAAATCAAAGGCAGTGGCGAGTATTGAGCTGCTTTGCGTATTTTGCTTTGTATGAACTGTCTCATGAGTTGTATGAATTCGGACTGAATTACAGGTTGTCCATTCAGGAAATGTTTCAGCATTGTCGGTTGAAAATCACCTACCAGTATGCCTGGCGTTCAGTAACTGACTCAGTAGGCCAGTTCTATGTATGATGCCAAACCCGTTGAATTTTGAATGAGCACCAAGCTATACAGCCCCTGCGCTGTCAAAATTGCCAAGAATCCATATTTTCACTGGCAGGCCCCTCAGAGATGATGCGCCACTGGTCCTAGGACTGGAAAGCAACCACCACGTCAAAAATTTGCAATAAAATGCTGGAACCGGAAAGAATATGAAAGGCATTGAAAGACTACTATTGACTATTGCATACTATTGCCATCTATTGACTGTGCGACACAGCAATGTCATTGCACATTACTTGCTCGAGCAAGGAATCAACTCGCAATGGGACACCATACAAGTAGGATCCATAGGACAGTGGAGTAGGTGGCCCAGGTGGCCACACTGCTGGGCCGAACATATCCAAGTGCTTGGCGCCTTCCTGCAAAATCTGCCAATGCCAACCATATCAATTCAACCTGCATGGCCTTGGGATGCCTTGGGCCCTCAAGATGCCACATACGTGCCAGAATGTACAGCAAACAGATGGAAACAGCACACATAGCATATCCAATGCAGTCATACAAGTCATGACATGTCATGACAATATCTTTCTCATTACTAATCTATAAACAAAAATCAAGAAATACAATATAATACTGTAAGAATCGGTAAGCGAGGCCAAAAAGCACGGGGAAACTGCTCCCACCTCGCCAAGGTAGGACCTGTTTGCTTTGACCCAGTCATTGACCTGCGACAACTGCGCAGGGCGGGCTGCCAGCCATAGATTCTTGCGACGTCTTTTGCGACATGTCTTGACCTGAAAATGTCATGGTACCAAAGTGCTCTGAAAGGGTTTTGTTTTGTTTTGTCGACCGCAGCCTGCTACCACAACCGAAGCCATTAACTTGTGAAACTAGCGTTGCAACATATTCCAAATAGATCCCTTGCAGACTGTGCACTTGTGCATTATGCACCCGCACCTGCGTGAAAACAGACCAGCAACTCCCAATAGGCGCTGCTCGTATGCAGTTCTAGTCATGGAATGCAATTGTGCACGTGGGCAGTGGGGTGCCAGTTCTGACCATTGTTCTCAATGGATTTCAATCATATCATCGCCTAGGAGTGCAATGGCAGTGCCTCCACACTTTTTGCATTCCAGTTATTGTCCAACCCGGCCTAAGCCGTTTCCTGTTGGACTCGCGGACCAAAATTCATGTGGCACTAGATGTAATTGGTGACAATAGATGACAATAGGTGTTTTCAGCTCAACTGGGACAAAACTGCTTTGCTAAAATACTGATTGCAGGCCCTGGTCACAAATAAATCTGTGGCCGCGGTTCCCAGGCGCCCAGCAGGCTGGCTTTATGCGAGCTTGGAACCCTACAAGCCTTTTCAAGAAGTTCGTACTCGTTGTCAGTGAAGACCTTGTGCTCGCTAGCGCTGGCATGCACTCAGCCATTGGTCTCTAGTTTTACATTCAGCAAGGGCCACTATAACAGTACTAGATCAGCACACATCAGTTACTACTGGTAGTTGCTAGTTGCCAGGCTGCGAACCGCAATGTTTCCGTCTTCCTCTGAAATGGCTGTTTGATGCTGTTTGCAGTGTAAAATTGCTGATATGCAATAGGAGGCAATTGTACGAATCTACGGCTCGCAAAGCACTGAATTGTGTCTCTTGCAGGCCGAGGATTTAGCAAAGCCAGCCGCTGCTCCAACAAGTCCAAAGAGAAGGAGCAAAGCCATGGCCAGCCTCCAAGACTTGCCTTCTCCTAGGGGGGATAAATGGCTGCTGACTGCAATAAACTCCCTTTGGACGCTTGGGATTCTGTATCTACTTCAACCCTTTTGAATCTGCGACTTGATGGTAGTGGCTGAAAGGCTTCAGTCCAAATTGGGCCGTTATCCCGGTATCTGACATCCTTGCTCGATTTCACAATGGCCCTTTAAAGGGAAGAAGAGCATAGGAAAACGTAGCCTCAAAGGTTGGAGCATGTTGGACCACGACCACTGCTTGAAGCCAGGCCGCGTCCAAGTAACAGCAGGCCAACCAACCCAGGAGCCATGGCAGTGAAAACGAGCAAGCACAAAGCACCATCCAGCACGTTCACCAGACCTGCCGAAATGTCTACTCTGATGAGCATTTTAAGACTGGCAGAAAATAGCTACTTATCTCATCAATCTCACAGGAGTGGCTAACTTGGAGAGTGGGCCGAAAGCATGGGGCATGTCCCAGGAAAAGTCAATGTAATCATCTTCTTTCAAAAAAAAACACTTGTCACTTGCATCACTTGAGTGCCGAGCCCAGTGATTTCACCTTCAGCGCAGGAACGAACGAGGCGGCCACAAAAAAGACCGTCAGGCCTGCAACCTGCAACATCTGCAACATGTTTCAGCAACTTGCTCCTTGTATCCCCTTGTATCCCCTTGTTCATCTTGTTCCAGTATGTTCCAGTGGCATGACCGGTCAGTTATGACAAAGTGCAACTCAACACAACTGTCCAGGGTGACTCAGGGTGACCAGATGAAATTTGTCGCTTCCACGGAACTGCCAAAGACTTCTTGCGTGCAGCACCCGGCCCGGCACCAAAGCGCTCCAACGGGAGGTTTTTCACTGGCGCTGTCCTCAAGTACGTCCGAGATGGCAACTACATGTAACATCATGTAACTACTACCTCCCTTTGGCACTGAAATTGTAATCTGCAGAGTTGACTTCTGAAATGTTTTGATCGTTGTGAAGATGTTTGAAGTTTGTATGGCACCAGTCCAAACAGCCAAATTGTCAAATGGCACGCTGAAGCGCTGCCGGTCCTCTGTTTCCCTCAACACCACCAAGCGACAAAGGAGCTGGGTATGAGCCCACTCCCAAGTGACAACTGCAAACAAGCATCATTGCGATCATCATGACAGGATAAACAGCAGCCAACACAATGATCATTCCGGCTTGTACCACCTTGGCTTTCGGCACGCTTCTTGTTAATGTCAGCAGCTGGAAGCACTCCATGTTCATCCATGTTCATCCATTCATCCATGTGCATCCATGTTCCAAAATGCCGGGCCAATGCTGGGCCAATGCCGCAAGGCCAATGCCGCAAGGCCACATTCATAGCGGTATTGTGTGGCAACGACACTAATAAATTGCTGTTCACCTAAGGCGTCCATTGCACGGAGTGGAGAGCTTCGTCACGTTTGTCAGACAAGCATGAACCATAGGGCAGCCCTTCCGATGGTGGGATTATCTGAAAAACTCAGGTGAAAACTTATGTGGAAAAAAACACGTCCGTAAAATCTCATGGAAATTGCCATGGCGCATGAGCATACACTGATGGACACGTAAACTGGGCAGCTGATCCGCGACAATGATTGACATATTTTCATACAAGCTAGTATCTTAATTATTGGTTTTGTCATTTTGTTATGTTTTGTTATGTTTGGTTATCCTTCGGCCACCTCTACATGTTGCAGGTTTTAGGGTATCATTTGGGATCCTTTCGCAAAAAATAAACAGGGGTAATGATTGCCTCTTTTTGTCCTGTTCTGTATTCAGGTTTTGGCATCTGAGGGGCATGTCCAACTTGAAGGCAAGAGGTACAAAGGTTGTTGCGCTGTCAAATCGTTCTTTAAACAAGTCTGGTGCCCTCCCCTTTCCACTACAAGGTTTCATGTGCTTGAGTACCAGCCCTTGCGAGCCAAGAGGCAGTTGGCCCAAAAGCAACATATCCAGCAACAGAAAGGAAAATAAAAAGCACTGCCAGAGTAGAAAAGGCCATCAGCAGAATCCTGAACAAGCAATTGAAAATCAGGCATTGTTAGACGGCATTGCTTGCAATATCTTGCAATGCTTCATCTATCGGTCCATGTGTTGTCCACAATGCAAAAAACAAACTGAAAGGTTGGATCTGCAACCACGAGGCACCCGTGCCTGCCGAATTTGTCGGGTGATCGATTCTCGAGTTCCTTGTACATCGGCAATACGCACATCCTTGGTCCCTCCCGCTGTCAGGTTTGCCTATGCAGCGTCCACCAAGCTGTTGATACAGTAGTCTTCATTACATTTGCAGCACTGTGGCTCACTCTCAAAGCCTAGTTGCTGTATGATAACGCTCTGCATCATGGTGCTGGCCATGGTCACTGAACCCTGCAATTTGCCCATGGGCCCATGGGAAGCAAACTTGCGACGGAGGTTAAATCTTATCTCAAGCTGTGATTGTGAATTGCAGCTGCAAGATCTGATACCGTTAATTTCTATTAGCCAACCCCTGCAAGCAACACATGGCCCTGTTGTGTATGGGGCGGAATGCCGGCCTTGGCCAATCCAAATTCACAGATGCTGTGCGGCAGGTTATCCCTGTCAAGTCTAAGTCTGTCGAAGAACTCCACACCTACCAAAATCATCAAGTACCTCAGCACCGTGCTTTAACATGCAATGCTTCAAGATACACAATGTATATGACAGGTGACGGCAATGACACATTTGTACTGCCATGTGCTGACAGCAACATCATTTTCTGTGTCCTTGTGTGCTGCTTTTGGTCTCTTTCCATGCAAGAAATAAACACTGACTTCCAATGACGACAATTCTGCAGGGTTGCAAGTTCACAATGATTGCAGCACCGGAGGAAAAAGATAAGTATTTCTGATCGAGAAAGCCTCAGCTGCTTCTCTTAGTGCAGGCCAGTGGATCAGCGTGCATTGTGGTTCTGTGATATGGCCACTGTAAGATGATCCATTAGAAGTAAAAGGAATTGAATGACAGAAATGCAAATGATTCAAGTTGGCCCCTTTGCCATAAAACAGAATTCTGAAAACATGGGGTGTCTAAAACGTACCCATGAGGAAACCATAATTATGGATGTTTTAACTGCGACAGAATGAGAAATGAGAAACTTGACTGTTTGGACATTTCGGCAGAAAACTCATGTCCGACAGAATTATTATGGAAATGTCGACCCCAAACTGTTGCAGGCAGCACCTGCGGCAATTTCTCATTTAGACCATTTCCGTGATTCTGTCGGTAACAATAATATCGAGCGACTCTCCAGCACAGTTGTTCCCCTATGCTCGGTTCCACTCGCTTAAGCCGACATTTTCACTCACATAAGCCGTCAATGTTGTATAGGTATTGTAATGTACTGTACACACATAATATATATATAATTATGTATAATACATATTTAGATACTCTTACCCACTGGGTACACATCTTTAGGTTTGAACTTTGGACTTTTACATACTTTAACGATCTTTAACGCACTTTTACGACAAGGGGGACTGGATACAGGACTTGGGCACTGAGTAAATCCTTGCAACAAGCCTGAGCATTTCATCTTCCACGAAGGCGAATGGAAGTAAGAAAGAAGGCGTAAGTAAGGGCCTGAACCTATGCTCCCCTCCTTGGGTCATATCCTGGATCCGACGAACTTCCCGTGTCTGGAAACATCTCAGCACATCAGGTATACAGTGTGGGGCGGGATCAATGCGGCTGAAGGGCAAAGTGGAAGGACAATCAGGCAAGCTGCGCCGGCAAGGGCCCATCCTCCAGCGAAATTTCAAGCACACAGAGTAAGAGCTTTTGGACGCCTTTGGCATGTTGGCTGAAATCCCAATGCAGCTGTTCATGCACTACACTTGAGCCCAGACTCGCTGCTCGAAAAAGGTCCCTTGGATAAAGGGCTGTGCAGAGTCGCAAATGCCAATGATATAGCTAAGCAAGCTCCCATACAGCACGATCCAGACCATCAGGTTCACAAACGTCCTGGATATTGCTGACCGAAACACGCTTGCCACATCAGTTCCATGTACCCGGAAAGATTTTCACCCTATTGAAATAGCACATGGAGCTGATCTTGGAACATAGCATGCCTGTCCATTCCCTGTCAAAGCCGGTCGCACTCTCCTCTTTCCTACTATCCAAATGGATCCACATGGATCCAAATGGATCCAAATGGATCCAGATGGACCCAAATGGATCCAAATGGATCCAAAATATTCCAAAATGATGCCAAAGACACGCACGCGGAACAAACCAATGTTTCCTGTACCAAATCTTTCATTGATTGAATTTGATTGACTGTTATTCCCTGCAGCTTCCTATGAATTTCAATATGTTGCTTGCCAAGTGTCTGCATGCCTGGACCAAGTCTGCCAGGGAGCTTACCCAGTAAGGCACCCAAGTCAAAAACCTGGTACCTGCACAATAGCGTCAATAGCGCAAAGAAACGAAACAGGACAGCGATTTACTCGCCCAGGCCTTTCGGATGCATGAACCAGAATCATGATTGTCCATAAGTTCCTCAGGTTTTGACATATATGATGACATCTGGCGAGCCCCCAGCTCTCACAGTTGCCAAGTATTTAATACGCTTGTTCTGACGCTTGTTGACGTGCAAAGCAGCCCAGGTTCACACCAATGACAAGCCTCAATGGCAGCTCAAAGCCATTTCAGGCATATTCAAAAATCGCTAGAAATCAGCAAAACATGCAAAAGCCTTTGGGATTTGTAAAACAAAGCCACGTTGCAGGCTTGCAAGGCACCAATATGCACCAATATGCACCAATATGCACCAATGCAATCATGAACATTGCTGGTGCCACATGGTGCCACAACCCCGACGAGCAACACTATGATGACTGCACCAACCAGTATGGATGCTCCGGCCATGGCCCAGGGAAGACTCAACATGCCAGTGCCCAAGCCTGACAAAGGGAGAGCAAACCACGCAAAATGCATTGAAAAATATTGAAACCGCTTTCAGTCTGAGCAATGATACGGTAGTGGTTTCTTCGTAGATCAGTCTAACATGACCAAATTGATCCGTGCAAACAACAGTTCTGCCAGATTCTGCAAGCATGCTTTCCCTATCTTTCCCATGGACAGTGTTAAAATGACGCCTCCGACAATCAAGTTCAGCAACATCTGCGGAGCCTTGACCTTGGTGCTGGGGAGGGGCAAGGCTGGTATAACATTGGATACAAAATAAGACAAACAATGATGACATTTGGTGACTTGAAGATGATGATGAAATAGTTGGAAGCTACTACACATTGTGCAACAACTATGGTTTCAAGAACCATTCTGCGCATGATGTTTGTAATTGTGCAAGTCTAAGCGACTGTAGCATCTTCACTGACATGCGGAGGTTCCACAGAGAAACTTCCAGAGGAGTGGGCCTCTGTTCAGCTCTGAATTGTTCTCAACATCCAAGATGATATTAGCAATGAACCAGTACTGTAATCATTCTTGCTCCCACCTTGCGATTTAATTAAGTGGATGCAAAATGACGCAAGCTCATAAATGTTCATAAATGTTCATATATCATACAGTGGTATTGTCAACGTATACATAATATGCACATATATGCACCATGTCAATTATACTATATTTGTTCAACCCCACCAAAAAATAAAAAGTTCAAAGGGTGGCCCAAGGCACCACACTGGCTGCTGGCGGGACCAGTTTGGCACACTGAGCTTCAGATTTTTCCATTGTTCAACAGCAAGGATTGGAAAGGGAGTATGGCCACTTTAATGGCCACTACAACTCCCAACGTTGCTGAGCATTTCCCAGCTTAATCTTGAATTTTCAGCAGCTACGGCAATCAGATTTGGTGTACGGAGCCAGCTGGATCTTTGCAAACGAAAACATCTGTTGCACACCCCCGCACATACCAGACAATCTCAATGGATCTCAATGGATCTGGATGGTCTATGATGGTCTATGCTGATCTTGTCTTAACATGAGGTGAATAAAATTTCAAACGCACAAGTTTGTGAGTCCAATGGTTTCGACTCGACTGGCGCAAAATGGCCCCAGTGTGCCTCATACTCTGCAGCTTCCTTTGCTACAAACTCCCCACCTGGCATGGCCAACCGTCTCAAAGCATCCCGCTTCACAAATTAAAGCTATCTGGCTATCTGCAAACAAAAATTGTGCATTCTTGTGCCCCACGGATAGAACCACGTTTTCTCCGCATGTGTGTGCACATTGTGTGGACAAAGGAGCCATTGTTTTTTTACGTTTTTGTCAAGTTTCGTGCATGCATTGAACAACTAGTAGATGTATGTAGATGTACTGTAATGAGCTTTGCACAGCTGTCAACATTTCTCTCACTGGTTTTGTGGCACCTTTGCGATCGGCAATCTCCTTTTCGCGCTCTTTATTGATTGAGACCTCAGTTTCACCAGGGGGCAACTTGAAACAAACCATAATACAGCACCTCTCTGATTCCAGGTGCCCTTCTTGAGATGCCAACTCTGAATTTGAACATCTCCATGGGTTCACGGAAAATGTTGAGAGGTCCAGAGTTCCTTAGCGATCGAAAGTCACGCAGGGGCATGACGGAACAGTCATTACTTCCCACCATGCCTTCGCCATGCCTTCGCTACAGCAACCGCAAATGCAGCCCATCACTTAATTCATCTTAATTCCAATCGAGCATGTTGATCATATTGTATCGTAGTGTCACAGTAGCCAGAGCAGTCCAAACGATTTCTTGTCTCTCTTTGTATTGTCACAAGGTGTCACAGGTATGGCTCTTGATGGTTCTTGATTTGTGACACCTTTGCCGTGGACCCCAAAAAAGAAACTGGGCTGCGAGCAGTACTCGACGCTGATCCTCTGCACCCATGTTTGTGAAGAGCTCGCGGGCCTGGAAGCAGCCATGAATCAGGCCATGAACAGGAACATCGATGCCTTCAAAATAGTGTATATAGCGACGTGTACTGGCTGATCATGTCTCATCATGTCTTATTAGGGTCAGGAATGTCCATCACGTTTTGTGATTCAGAATATTTCAGATCTATATATTCAGGGAAGGGTTGAGTCCAGCAAGCTGCTTCACCGACCTGCATCCATCAGAGTCACTATGGAATCATATGGAATCCATTGGAATCCAAAATAATGTGTGTGAACAAGTTCGGATTATTTCGCTGGCCGCTCCCAAGTCGTTGTTCCGGCTGGATCTTCAATTCGCCAGTAATAGGGCTGCCCGGTATTGGGGTCAATTGTGGATTGCCAACCGCGTGGCAGTTCACTGGCAGCTGAAACTGGCAGTGTTGATTCCGACTTTGTGCTTCCCTCCCGATTCTGGAATGATTCGAACGCGGTTAGGCTGCTTGGGGAATAGCTTTCCCAGGCAGTCTGTAGCTGGGCATCTTTTTGACGTGCCCTCCACGAAGAAATTGCTCGCTTCAAGAAAGGCACCGCTTGAGCTCTTGGTGAATCTGGGTCACAGCCATTCTCACGCATGTCTTGCAACACCCAGTCTGCCGCGTCAAGGTCATCGTTCAGAATAGCTGTGCGAAGCAGAATGCCCCAAGCCTCTTCAGGCAGTGCATCAGGAAGGTCATGCCTCATTTGCGCAAAGACCTTGCGCTGTTCCTGAAAATCCATGTGGCACCTCATGAGTGCATGCCAGTCTGGCCTGGCAGGCCTCCATCCTTCTGCGCGGAGATCCTGAAACACTTTCAGAGCTGCTTCCCAGTCAGAACCGCACGCAACAATCAGGCAATTGTAGTGATTTCTTTGCGGCGTGCCCTTGCCACTGCTCCGATATTCCTTCAACAGCTCCTCCACCTTCAGTCGCTGTTTTGCTCGAGCACAGGCACTCATTGGAAGAAGGTAGGCCACAGCCCAGTTTGAACCATCATGAAGTGTGGAATCTGCCTTCAAACTCCCCAAGGAGCTTAACGCTTCACTCCAATTATGACTGGTAGCGCAGCTAGTCATGATGTGACAGTATGTAATTGCATTTCGAGGCACTGCTTCGGCATCCATATCTCCAAGAACTCTATCAAATTCCTCCAAATGCTGCAGCCGTGCCAGCATCAACAGCATGAAATTATACGCAGGAGTGTCTTTCACCGGGAGCCGCTGAAAGACTTGCTTTGCCTCCTGGTAACGCAAGGCCTTGCACAAACAATGCAAAACACTTCGAAAAACTGGCTGCCACTCCTCGCCAGCATTTTCTGGCAGCGCCTGATAGATTTCAAGAGCCCTCTCCCAGTCCAGGGATTTCTTGCACTTCACCAATTTCCGAATCATTTCTTGTTGTTCCTCTGTCAGCACGGCTGTGTTCCAGTCTCGGTCCTTGACTTGGTATCTTCGATCATATGCCCGTCCATGCCTATCCGTTAAGCCTGTTGTGTTCCGGTACAGTCTGTCTTGCTCTGCCATTGGCAGCGATTGAACCCTCTCATGTTTGATGCCATTGAAGGGCTGGTTGAGACTTTCTGTCTCGACGGAAGTGGAAAGCCTCTTGTGATGGGTAGGAAGCACAGCCCAAACTTTCAAAATCACGGACAAGTGTGTCTCAAATCGTGCTTTGACGACGGGAGACTTTGATTGCAGCATAACACAACACTACAGAACACAACATAATACTACATGATACTATATATATATATTATATGTGTGTGTGATGCTACATAGCTACATAATACCACATATAATGCTACATAATGCTACATAATGCTACATAATGCTACATGATACTACATGATACTACATGATACTACATGATACTACATGATTCATGATACTACAAAATTACTGGTTCTGGCACACAATGCTTGTGCCGAAACAGCAAAAACATGCAAAAACAATCACACTTCAAATATTCAGCAGCAATTGTCGTTCGTACAAATGAACTTTATATACAGTAAATTTACTTCGAGCAAGTGAATCAACCCAAAGGCAATCATCATCCCTTCGCAAACACGTGCATTTTTGTTCACTTGTTTACTGCCTGCCTGGGTGTTCAGCATCTCGCTGTTCAAGCGGAAAAAGTCATCCTTAGTTTGCAAGTGCAGGTATAAAGGCACTTCGTACGACGTGACATTGCTCAAAGCTGTCAAGCTGGTTATTAGCATCCATAATTGCGTTGAGTGCCGTCAACCTGCTATAGCCTGTCTAGTTCTAACTTGCTCATGCCGATGCAGCCGACCCGACTGACCCGACCTATGATGTTTTTTTAATCGCTCTGGCCGTCTGAAGCTGCACTCCATTCAGCTCCTCTATTCACCTGGGCGTCCTTGAGCCATCTTTCAGCTCACAGGAACGGCATTTTGCCAGGAACTCCTGACAGAAATATTCAGAACAAAATGTCGGCCAGTAAACTGGGTATCACTTGGTGATATGGCACATCACGGCACCTTCATGAGCCTTTGTGCACCTTCCATGATCAACATTGATTCATTCACGGTATCATGTACACATATTCTGTATGAATAACACTAGATAACCAATCATAACCATGCATAATCGTCTATCTTACGATCATTTGCGGAAGGAATTCCTTGCCATGAATTCACCGAAGGGTGTCCTGTGGGCATCGGTGCAGGTGTTGCTCCTGAGCTTCAAGACGAGAGCAAACCATGCAGCAAATACTGGTAGCACCAATCCACTCGTCTGAGAGGTTGCATATAGATGCATATAAATATATTATAATAGTAGTTATAGATTGTTATAGATGCATATAGTAGTTTGATGTAGCTTGTGTTTGTGCACAGTTGTGCAAGGCACAAGTCGCCTGGGAGCAATCCTGGAGACGCCCGAGCAACTGCACCTGACAGGGTGGACTTACTTTTTGCAGCTCACCTGTCTACTTTCCAAACTAACTTCCACGCGCATCGTGCAATATACATTTAATATATATATATAAATATTAAATTATATGCGCTCAAAAAAAAGGACAGTGTCTGGCTGCACTCAGTGCCATGTGCCACATTTTCCCAAACCTCCTCGCATGCCCAAGGCCGCTTCCAGCTGCGAAGCATCCCGCCGCCGTCGGGCCAGATCTTCGCTCAAGAGCCTCAAGTTGAAACATGTTGAAACATGGCAGTGTGTCAAAACCTTGTACCCCTGGTGAACATCAAAGTAGCTGGGATTTATGGATGTTCATCCCACTAAAAATTGTATTAATAGGTATTGATCCATAGCCACATCAAAAAGTTGGAAAAACATGTGTAGGAACTGGCCGTGCTGGGCTTCAAGATCTTCAAGGACTTGAAATAGAGAAGCAAGGGCGGTGGAAGACAAAGCAAGGGCGGATTGCTGAGGACTCATGAGTCAAGAAAACCCACATCGCGGCTCAACATATCTCAACACTTGGATAGCCCGGATAAAACCTGAAATAACTAAATGAATTACAAACTACTGTATATATATATATGTACAGTATATTAATAATAATAACAATACTGATAATAAGAATAAATAATAAAAATTACTGGGGTCTCAGGTTCTTGTCAATGATCATCCGCTGGGTCGAACATAGTCCATAGCCTGTTGGGAGTGAGAATCATGTACCCCTTATTACCCCTTTTTTCACATCCCTTATAATAATAAATAATAATTAATAATGAGATAAATAGTAATAATAAATAGTAGTAATATATATTATATTATATATAATTATATAGTACAGACCACAGATTGAGAAACAATGCGCGTCTATTATGTCGAAACTTTTGCTGTGATACATTGTGATACCTAAAGGACTAAAGGACCTACACTTACACCTTGCTGAGGCATCCAAGGCACTCCAACAACTCTCCCTGTTGTGCGGTCACTCGCAACACCGAGCTCTCTGCACTCTGCGCGCCTGGAATCGTGCAGAGTGATCAAAAAGTATGTTTTCGATAAAGACACATAATTAATTAATCATGATTATTTCCCTTTTTTCCTAAGATTTGAAAAGACGGATAGATGTTATATAAAACAGCAGTTTATGAGAGCAACTTATGGATATTTGAATGCCTTCGAATAATGTCTTATTATGATAACGCGCACGTTGGAACAAACTTACGTTGGAAATACATGGGAAATATAGAAATATATAGAAATACAGCATGGAGTTACCCAGGCTCCTTCCAACCGTTCCATCCATGTCATGCTTCTCCTGTTTCCCTTGGCGAACCAGAGGCCTATTGAATATATTGACGACAAAATCTGCGGCTTAGAAAGTGAAGGAAATTGAGGCCCACAGGTTCTTGACTGCGGCCACTGCCAAGCTCTGGCTGCATTCTCCTTCCTCTCTCCATGCGACCAACTCATGGCGCTGCTCGTCAGCCTTTGGCGGGTTTTTGGGATCAGGTGGCCTCCAAGCCACTTTATCTGGGTTTCGACTGTTCACAATGGTGGACTTCACAGCTTCCCTGGTAGCTGGCTGTTGGCTCCACAGACTTACCAGCACGCCTTGAAAGCCTTCAAGAATTTGAAGCACTTCATCTGCCATCAGTTCCATGGTTTGGGCATCATCCGTACGGAGTGAAAGTGTCTCAAGGTTCATGTGCAGCACGCACACCCTATTCTTGCTCAAGGATCTTCTTCCTCCTCGTAGAACAAAAAGCTCGTCTCCTTGGACATGAACTTTCAATACATCAACGGGTCTGACAGAGCCTTCCGAGGCAAGGCCAGAAATGTATGTGTCGAGCGTCTCTGCAGTTGTCGACCGCTCCACGCAGTAGTAGAGATTGTTGGATGCTTCACTGTATCGTTCTTTGCATCTATGGAAAGTTGCCAGTGCCATGGAGTGACTGGGAAATGATATTTGTATTTGTCCAGGTGCGTCTCGCATTGCCATTTCTTCAACAATGACTTCAACAGAATGTGTGGAATCCTGCGGACCCTTGTCCCCTCTGTCAGTCTTTTGCACTCCCCAAGCCTTCTTTAGACCTTCTGCTGACCGCCTGAAAGCAGCCGCCGCTGAGGGCAGTGCTTCAAAACCTCGCATTTCAAGCCTGGGCCCGTTCCAATGTTTCAGAAGCATTGAGGCTGCCCACAAGATGCAGTCACCATAGCTTGCGCCAATGTCCCACACCTGTACTGGAAAAGGCCATGGAGTGCACACCTGTGTCCCACCGTCACAGCTGCTGTGGGCCGCCATAGCCAAAACTACAAACAAAAAGCCTGGAGCATAGCACATTGGCTGCTCGGTGGTTCTCACCATATTACTTGCAGCGTCAAAGCCAGGGTGAAGGTGTTGTTCCAGCAATGGCAAGTCTGAGTGTTTCCGGAATCTTTCAGACACAATGCTAGCCAGGCGCGAGCCAGGGAAGTGAATTGTGTCTGTCATATAAGTCCCTGGGCGGGTCAAGACTACCGCAGGCCAAGACAAAGCCTGCAGCAAATTGACCAATGGAACCTCCATCTTGATCAGCAGCGAGAAGGGATGCGTGAAAAGAGATATCCAGGCTTTCAGCTCGGCATCTGCAAATTGCACCAGTCGTTTTGCCTCCATACCCAGTGCTGGGAGTTGGTCCGATGCACGGGGTAAATCCAGCCGTAGATTGTGATAAGCGGTGAGTGCAGTAAAAACTGGCATCAGTTGCCACAAGACTTCCTCATGGGATCTGGCCACACTGCTAGTGAGCTTCACAACGAGGTCAGTAGGGATTCGACCACTCGACTCACCCTGGATTGTGTTGGTTAAGGTGTTGCTCCAGCGCATGGTTCTGTCTCCTGCCATTATCCCAGGCATACGCTGATTCGCGAATTCTTGGAAACCAGAATCCCAGCGAAAGAAATCCAGACTCAAGAATAAGGGCCAGCCAGAAGCAAGAATCTCTTCCAAGGTCACTGGGCTAGTAAATAAAACTTTCAGCAAATATTCGGCACGATCGTAGTCCCGGCTCTTCTTTTCAATCGATCTGTTTACAGTAGTGACATGGATAAGTCTGATCATACTGGCCAGAACGCCACCCAAAAGGCATTCCTTTGGATCAGCTTTATCTAGAGGAGTGTCATTCAACACCTGAAACGACTGAAAGAGGGACAAGGTCTGACGCAAGCGCTCCCAGAAGACACCTTTGCCCACACACGAGAAGAAGGATCTTGGAGGTCGATCAGGTTTAGCGACGCAGCATCTCTCGTATTCATTTGCCAAGATCGACTCAGGCCAACAAGACTGTCCCGGCAAGATGCCGCTATCCCACTTCACGCAACACACTTCAAACGTCCGATTCTCCCAGCATCCACTAACATCTGGGTGTGCAGATCCCCAGTACAAAGCATGTTTGTACGTGACTTCATTTATTCCACGCTGTTTAGATGCGTATATACCGCAAGCCAAAGCGAGCAGCAGCGGGGGCAACCGCCATGTGTGAGACCAGAAAAAACTGTCCATTGACTTGTCTGCTATGAAGCCTGTAATTTGCAATGATACACCCAGACCCATAGTTTTTCCAAGCTGGGAAAATGATACCAGTATGGAAAACTGGAAATGGAAGTAAACATGCACACCGCGAACCATTGTGTGCGTACATATGCTCATGGCATAAGAGGCTATCGAATCCTGGCCAGCTAGTATCAACTCTACCGAAATGCTTGAGACTGCACAATGACAAAACCAGTGGATATATTTCAAGCTACACTGCGCACCGGCAACTTGAGAGAAGAAGGATCCATCACAGGAACTCGCAGTAAAATAGTGGAGCGCTGACGATGGGTCACAAACAAGATCAAACAAGATCAAATCAACCACGATCCATTCCCGCAACTCATTGCTAGTTTGGATCAGTTCATCATTGAGGCATGTTCTTGCCATGGACGGGGGCGTGGTTCTGCTTCCAGTTTCGGTGCGCTAATGTTGTGACGCCGAGTCCCGCCACGCCTGGTGTCCCCTCTCCGAGGGCCAGCTTGCAATCATCTCCAGCGAGCAAAGCACTGGGGCCGCCTGAGCAACAACAACGAGCCCGACACGTTCAATAGAACAGAGCCCGACATGTTGACGCTATTTGCAGTTGAGACCCGCTTATTAAAAACATGTTTAAAAATAACCAAAGGAAAAATAACATGAAATAAGGATAAAATAGGGATAAATAAGGATAAAAAGAAAACATAAGAAACCCAAAGGCAGCTCCAAAGCTTGGCTCCTCTGGCGCCTGGAAGCTGCAGCAGCTGTCGCAGCTGGACTGACAGCTCCTCCAATTGTGCCCGGGCACCTCCTGGAGCGCAACAAACCTGCGGAGATCGCTGGACATTCATGGCCACTTGTTTCCTTGCACATTTAAAATACAATTAGTATTATTGTTCTTGTATGCATATATATATAATATAAATATATAATTATATATATATATAGTCATCTATGTGGAGATAAGGGATAGATCAGATCTGAGAATAGGATAGGATTGGATAGGGTGGGGGCAGGATAGGATGAGACGAGGCAAAATAAGATTAGGTAAGATTAGATCGATAGAGAGATAAAACAGAGTTGGGTAAACAAAGAAAGATTAGGTCGGTAGATTAGATAGCTAGAATAGATTGATAGGTTAGATCGATAGGTTATATGATAGGTTAGATAAATAAATGAAATAGATACAAGTAGATAGGATAGATAGTATAGATACAGTAGGATGGACAGGATGGGTAGGGTAGATAGGATGGATAGGCTTGATAGGATAGGCAGGATACGATAGGATACAATAGCAGAGATTAGATTACTTTAGATTGAAATTCATAAAGATTTAGATTGAAATTACTTAAGATTTTGATTCGTTTTGTCTTTTGCCTGGGCTTCTCAGAGGGGCCCAACAGCAAACCCCGAGCACCTTCGGTCTGGGTGCTAGCTGCAAAACTTGCATGATGCTAAAACACTGTAGGTGGCCAATTTCAAGAGATTTGGAATTTGATTTACAAGTAGGACTGGATTAGATTCGATCAAATAGATTAAGCAATATATAACATGATTATAATCATATATGATTATATAATAACTACTAAGGCTCTGGGATGTACGCCGAAAATGTCTGAATAAAAGTGATAATGAATGTATGTTCCATGCAACGTGTGGTTCGGAAAAACGCATCGTTTCTTATTTCCTATTTGGGACACAAACGGCAATGTGCTGACTGAAAGGCCTCCTCCAATCTGGCCAAGCGGGACTCGAGCTGAGCCTTCCATGTTGAACAAAGCCGACCCAAAGTCAAGGCATGTCAAGGCAAGTGGACGTCATTTGCATTGTCAGGACTTCATGTCAGCCGATGCGTCAAAACCGCCGGTTTTGTGGTAGTGATGCCAGTGAACACAGGTGTTACTATATCAAACATGTATTGTAGTTCTTATTGTAGAAAGGAAAAAATGGAATTTCACGCTCTTCATCGAAGCCCGCCTCTTCCTGAGGAGCCCTGCGAGCCGCCCCAGTCTGCAAGGCACGACGTTCCAGCCCAACAACTACCTGGAGCCCCAAGTCGTGCTGGCAGTTCAAACACATCAACGATATTCAACGATTGCAAAATAGGTTTGAAACATGGCCCATGTTCAAGCACGTTCATATCTTTCATATCCAATCCTTTTTTCATCTTTCTTCTGTGTTTTCAACTGTCCTTAACTTCAATATATTCAATTGTCCGATAGGGTGTTCGCTACTTACACGATGATGGTCTCTCTGTTTTCGTCGCCTGCAAGAGTTGCCGTTGCAAGCGCTGCTGGCGCTGTCTGCACTCCTGGAACGCCGTGGAATGGGGAAGTGTTTGCTGAAAATACCGATCAAATGCTGCATCGCTTGAATACATATATACAATGTATATCTTTTTGCGTGAATGTAATTTTGTATGTATATAATTATATTGTATATATAATATTATTATTACTATACTACACAATGTGCACGTGCGCGTGCAAATGTTGATTGAAGTGAAGCGGCTAATGCCGGCGAATCCAAGCTTCATGAAAAGAACGGGTCAGTCCTCCAGCTTTTGGGAGCTCTGTGCCTGCGGGGGATTGACAAATGCAAATAAGACATATATATATATGTATATACTATAATTATCACCGTACCGTCAATATTTACATCTATTATCTATTATCATCTATTTACTCTTTCTCTCTCTCTTTCTTTTCTCAATCCCTATCTTCAGGAGCCACAGCTATATAATTACTGTTTCCTGTTGTTCACTACAGTCGGCTATTCTGCGGATATACTCATCATGCATCATCCACACCAGTTTCCTGCCCACCCACCTCAATATTCTCGCGGATCTCATTGTGCAATAACACTCCAATACTATACTCCAATCGTGATGTTTTCACTAGATATCCGCCCAAGTGCACTTGAAAGTGTTGCTCCACGATCCCTGTGATAAACGGCTGATGATGGCTGGGAACTTTCAAACAAGTCGACGAAATGCCTGCCTGTAAATGGTCTTTCAGATTTCCCATTCCAGATCGAAGCTCCTGAAACTGCCAACATGCAAGAAGCTGCAAGAAATCGCAAAAATACGCTCCTAGCTATTCGCAACATGCCCACTCGACATTCCAGCAAAGCACCATTTCAGAAACAGCTAAACAGCTGTAAAAACGCCATGAAATGCTGCAAACCAGAACGCATTGTAGGGCCATTGGGCAGCATGCTGATGCTCTATGTCTCCTCCAAGGCAGCTCCCAGGTCTTCCACCGCCTTCTGCTGCTGCTGCAACCTCTGCTCTAGAGCAGGTAGGCCCACCTCAAGCCGTGCCCAACACAGCGGCGGGGCGAGGCGCCCCGAAAAAGCACAAGCCGCCACAAGCCACTGCAAAAAATGCCGAAACACGCAAGCAAAGAGGAGAGAACAAACAATAGAATACAATAGATACAATAGAACAAACAAGGACCGAAACAAAGAGCACATGCAACTGTGCGGGGAGGCTATCAGGCTATCAGGCCCTAATTTGTCCTTCAACATCAGTTTTGTACATGGCGAGCCACCATAGCTTCAGGATAGCAGGAGTTCGGATCTGGATTTGCTTGCAATGCCTCAGTGAGCATGGGAGATCCGAACGGCCATCGCGGCCACCGTTGCACCTATGAAATCCACTGGCCTGAAGCCACTTCATCTGATCCACCTGAGACAGCTATGGGCAGCCAATGGCAGCTAGCAGAAAAGCACAGTGAAATGAGGCGGACCATGCAGGTTACTCTCTTTGTCGGTCTCAAACATCACCTTTCGGCTGGAGCAAATGAAATTCTTATGGAATATTTCTCTCCAACGAAAGACGTCGCAAAGGCTTGCCTTTCGCCAGATCATTCTGCCTGCCGATTTGTGCCAAGCCACGTGCTGCATCGGATTGAATGCCTGTGGATTATTGGCCTTAGGTACAAGGGTTGCAGTAACAGACGCCCATGCAACCTTGGTACAGTAGTCACATTGTGACATGAAAAATCAACAGCACACATTTTTAATTCCTAGGCCGCTAGATTGCAGTCAAGTAGCTTGTGCAAGCGCTTGGAGATTCGCAGAGAAGGAATAGCCTAGAGGCTGAAATGCTGAAGATTCATGAAGATTCAATAATCCCTCCACCTTCCAAAGTTTTCATTCAGGGGGTGCTGCAGCGAATCTACTCCCATGCATAGTGCCAAGATGCTGTAAGCCAAGAAGTTGCCAGCAGACCTTACACACTTAGCACTGCTGTGGCACTCGTCAAGTACAATCTACAACAAGACTACGACAAAGTGGACAAGAGACAAATAGATGCGGTGACAATGATAGATCGCAATGATGTGAAGTCCAAAACTCTGCCTGTGATACTGTGATTCTAGATGCGGTAGATGAGACATGATGAAAGTTCCAATGATCAATGGATTGGTTTAAGGGAAAATCTACAGGAAACCATAGATTTTCCCATTAAATATGGGGCTTTCCTGTAAATTTTCCCTTAAACCAATCCATTGTTCCAATGCATCCCAGCTTCCAGCGCATTCCGCCGCCCTGCGCCGCAGCCATAGCAGCGCTCTGTCTGTCTCCAGCAGCTCGGCCAAGAACAGGATAAAGTTCCTGGAGCCAAAACATTAAAATCCCCACAGCATAAATTCATCTTATATCAATCATATATCTTGACTGCAAAGATCAGGTTATATCAGATTTTTTGTCACAAAACAAGATGCCAAGAATGGCGGTCCTCCATCCTCCTGGCAAGCTCCATGCAAATCAGTTGTGCCTCTTGAGCGTTTGGGATGCCACCCATGCCACCTCGTGCAACTTCAAAGAGTGACGCCTCTTCTCTGAAAAAATTGGAATTGCGGACGAATTGCACAAATAACGAACCTTCTACACTGACCAACTCAATCATACTAAGACCCTGAGAGTTCACTAGAGACTTTACTGGTACTTCCAACACTCACTTCAAAGTGGTCGAATGCCACCTTTGATTCAAAAGCGAATGCTTCGCAAGACAGTGACGGATAGAAATAGAGTTGCCAGTTTCGAACACATTCCCGGTCTTGATAGACTTGGAGGTGTTCAACTTCATGTTTGGAATGTATGGACTTGATTTCGGAATATTTTGGACATGGGTTGGCAGCCAGGCCCAAAAGAAATATGGAAACATCTGTTTTTACCGGCGCTACATCCACATTTACCTGATGAACATTCACTCTGCCCGTTGAAAAGGTGGCCTTCTTTGGCACGGCACGCCTTTATCTGGTTAAATATTTAAGATGGCTTTGCACGAATCAAACATGTTTGAAGTGTCTTTATTGCAATGTCGAAAGTTCGACGCAAGTTAAATGTTCAAAGGACCTGCCAAGGCAAGTAACCGAAAGCCAGCATAGGCGGAAGGTGCGGAAGGAAGGAGGGAGGGAAAAGGGTCGGGTCGAAGAATTGAAGAAGTAGGAAGAGAAGAGACGTTTGGTGGGGGAAAGTAATTAAGTATACATATACACACATATATATATGTTATGTTATATTATATTTCTATATCACTATATTATAATACTATATATATAATATATAATTCATTATGTATAGGAAGTTACAGGAATAACACTGCAAAAGGCAGATAGACACCCAGCGAAGACAAATATGTCCCATCACATACTGGCCGCCACACAGCCACCTGCTTCCCTAGTCTCATGCCATGCTCTCGTCACCTTCTCTCCGTCCACATTTCACTACCTGCCCTGACCTCCAGCCACATCCTCCTATGCTCGAAATTGACTTGGCAGACCTTCGGCTTGTCATTTTGGAACATGACTATTCTGACTATTCTCTTCTCGCACCCTGCCATAGACGCTCGAAATTACATTTGCAAACCTTATGCTTCTCATATTTCTCTGCCTTGGTTTCTTGCCAATTCATGGCACACGAATGGAACTGCGGCGGCCCAAACTCAAGACTGACGGCTTATTATGCTTATTGTATGTTCCAGCAACTTTTGGTTTTGGTCTGTAGTGTTTCCAAAGTTTTCTTTCAAGCCTTTCCCAAGCATACAAAATTGATTGAACAAATTAAGCTCGACCGCCAGGATGAGCCGATTTGTTGATACTACATTACTACATCATGCTGATACCCTTCCACAAATCATTCCAGTCATGGCCGCAGATCGGATCATATTTACATGTATCCAAATCATCTTAAACAATACCCCAACACCCATCAACTCAGCAGCAGTCACATGCAGTGTTCAGAAGCTCGTGGGCCTGCAGAGCTGCCACTGGCGGCACCGAAGAGGCCTCCTTCACAGGCAAGTGTCAAATGCATTCAGATGTGTCCCTTTTAAGTCAACATACCTACCCCATTTCTTAATTCACTTTGACGTTTGTTGACACTTTTTGGATTTTGGTGGGTGGTCCGAATCCGAAGGATTCCCCAAGCCTCCGCTGCTAGCGGCAGCAGCGCCGAACAAGCCACCACTGCTGCTTGCACCTCAAGAACAATTTTGATTATTTTCGTTAGCATGGGGGTGTGCTTAATCAACCTCATGCGCCACTTTAAAAAGTATCATGGAATTGTGCCAGAAAACATCACAAAACCAAAAAAAAACACTATCAAAACCATTCAAAACCATTTCCTCCCCCAAAAAAAGTGTTCATCCAGAACAATTCATCCTGTCTAAATGTCGCAAATTCGAAGCTCGCATTCATTGTAAGGTGCGCCTGCGCCCGAAGAAGCTCCAAACAAGCCACTGCCAGTGCCCCCACCGAAGAGGCTGCCACTACCTTGACAAAACATGACAAAACATGACAAAACCAAGGAGATACCAAGGAGTCACTTGCATTCGATTCACTTTGAAGAGGAAGTCAAGCAGTCACACGCAGTGTTCAGCAGGTCGCGGGCCTGCAGAGCTGCCACTGGCGGCACCGAAGAGGCCTCCTTCACAGGCAAGTGTCAAATGTATTCAGATGCGTCAAGCCTGAGACGATTGTGCAAGTCCCTTTTAAGTCAACATACCTACCCCATTTCTTAATTCACTTTGACGCTTGTTGACACTTTTTGGATTTTGGTGGGTGGTCCGAATCCGAAGGACTCCCCAAGCCTCCGCTGCTAGCGGCAGCAGCGCCGAACAAGCCACCACTGCTGCTTGCACCTCAAGAACAATTTTGATTATTTTCGTTAGCATGGGGGTGTGCTTAATCAACCTCATGTGCCACTTTAAAAAATATCATGGAATTGTGCCAGAAAACATCCCCAAAAAAAACTATCAAAACCATTTCCTCCCCCAAAAAAAGTGTTCATCCAGAACAATTCATCCTGTCTAAATGTCGCAAATTCGAAGCTCGCATTCATTGTAAGGTGCGCCTGCGCCCGAAGAAGCTCCAAACAAGCCACTGCCAGTGCCCCCACCGAAGAGGCTGCCACTACCTTGACAAAACATGACAAAACATGACAAAACATGACAAAACCAAGGAGATACCAAGGAGTCACTTGCATTCGATTCACTTTGAAGAGGAAATCAAGCAGTCAGACGCAGTGTTCAGCAGGTCGCGGGCCTGCAGAGCTGCCACTGGCGGCACCGAAGAGGCCTCCTTCACAGGCAAGTGTCAAATGTATTCAGATGCGTCAAGCCTGAGACGATTGTGCAAGTCCCTTTTAAGTCAACATACCTACCCCATTTCTTAATTCACTTTGACGCTTGTTGACACTTTTTGGATTTTGGTGGGTGGTCCGAATCCGAAGGACTCCCCAAGCCTCCGCTGCCAGCGGCAGCAGCGCCGAACAAGCCACCACTGCTGCTTGCACCTCAAGAACAATTGTGATTATTTTCGTTAGCATGGGGGTGTGCTTAATCAACCTCATGCGCCACTTTAAAAAATATCAAGGAATTGTGCCAGAAAACATCACAAAACAAAAAAAAAACACTATCAAAACTTCAAAACCATGTCCCCCCCAAAAAGTGTTCATCCAGAACAGTTCATCCTGTCTAAATGTCTCAAATTCGAAGCTCGCATTCATTGTAAGGTGCGCCTGCGCCCGAAGAAGCTCCAAACAAGCCACTGCCAGTGCCCCCACCAAAGAGGCTGCCACTACCTTGACAAAACATGACAAAACATGACAAAACCAAGGAGATACCAAGGAGTCACTTGCATTCGATTCACTTTGAAGAGGAAGTCAAGCAGTCACACGCAGTGTTCAGCAGGTCGCGGGCCTGCAGAGCTGCCACCGGCGGCACCGAAGAGGCCTCCTTCACAGGCAAGTGTCAAATGTATTCAGATGCGTCAAGCCTGAGACGATTGTGCAAGTCCCTTTTAAGTCAACATACCTACCCCCATTTCTTAATTCACTTTGACGCTTGTTGACACTTTTTGGATTTTGGTGGGTGGTCCGAATCCGAAGGACTCCCCAAGCCTCCGCTGCTAGCGGCAGCAGCGCCGAACAAGCCACCACTGCTGCTTGCACCTCAAGAACAATTTTGATTATTTTCGTTAGCATGGGGATGTGCTTAATCAACCTCATGTGCCACTTTAAAAAATATCATGGAATTGTGCCAGAAAACATCCAAAAAAAAACACTATCAAAACCATTTCCTCCCCCAAAAAAAGTGTTCATCCAGAACAATTCATCCTTTCTAAATGTCTCAAATTTGAAGCTCGCATTCATTGTAAGGTGCGCCTGCGCCCGAAGAAGCTCCAAACAAGCCACTGCCAGTGCCCCCACCGAAGAGGCTGCCACTACCTTGACAAAACATGACAAAACATGACAAAACCAAGGAGATACCAGGGAGTCACTTGCATTCGATTCACTTTGAAGAGGAAATCAAGCAGTCACACGCAGTGTTCAGCAGGTCGCGGGCCTGCAGAGCTGCCACTGGCGGCACCGAAGAGGCCTCCTTCACAGGCAAGTGTCAAATGTATTCAGATGCGTCAAGCCTGAGACGATTGTGCAAGTCCCTTTTAAGTCAACATACCTACCCCATTTCTTAATTCACTTTGACGCTTGTTGACACTTTTTGGATTTTGGTGGGTGGTCCGAATCCGAAGGACTCCCCAAGCCTCCGCTGCTAGCGGCAGCAGCGCCGAACAAGCCACCACTGCTGCTTGCACCTCAAGAACAATTTTGATTATTTTCGTTAGCATGGGGATGTGCTTAATCAACCTCATGCGCCACTTTAAAAAATATCATGGAATTGTGCCAGAAAACATCCAAAAAAAAAAACACTATCAAAACCATTTCCTCCCCCAAAAAAAGTGTTCATCCAGAACAATTCATCCTGCCTAAATGTCTCAAATTCGAAGCTCGCATTCATTGTAAGGTGCGCCTGCGCCCGAAGAAGCTCCAAACAAGCCACTGCCAGTGCCCCCACCAAAGAGGCTGCCACTACCTTGACAAAACATGACAAAACATGACAAAACCAAGGAGATACCAAGGAGTCACTTGCATTCGATTCACTTTGAAGAGGAAGTCAAGCAGTCACACGCAGTGTTTAGCAGCTTGTGGGCCTGCAGAGCTGCCACTGGCGGCACCGAAGAGGCCTCCTTCACAGGAATTTCACAGGCAAGTGTCAAATGTATTCAAATGTGTCAAGCCTGAGACGATTGTGCAGGTCCCTTTTTTAAGTCAACGTAGATTATCACATGTGTTGATTTATTTAGATTCCTTTTCGGGTTCTTTGGGGGATCCAAAGTCAAACAGAAAGTCAGAAGCACGATCCTTATCACTTAGCTTACACACAGCGTGCTTGCATGCATCAGCCATAGAGTGCTCAAAGTGATCAGTGATGGTGACAATAGTGAGGTTTGGAGGTCCCCATGATCAAGTGCAGCTGAAGGTGTTAGTAACAACATTAACAACATAACTTAACCCTGAAGCACGATTGAAAGGCATGGCAAAACCTTGCAAAATATTGCAAAAAAAAAAGCATTCGCAAAACATCTAAGTTGTCCCAGGCAGTTCTGAAGATACGAATATCTCATACGAAAACATCCACAGCGAAAGACTGCACGGACACAAATGCGTCCTCCAGAAGAGGCACCAAACATGGCGACGGAAGGACAACATGCCACGAATCAAAACAATGCTTGGAACCGAAAGCCGCAAACACATGCAAACATCAAGAACAACGTCCGCATAGTTTTGCACACGTATCATCCCCAAATATCCTAAATATTCTCAAATTCTGTGTGTGTGTGTTTTGAAGCATGTGCGCTGCAAACGCAACGGACATGAATGGACATGTGTTTCTGTGGAGATTGTTCCTATCTGTGCCCCACCCTCGAAAATGCACTAAGTGCGAAAGCTTGCCAACCCACGGTTGAGCTGTGTCCCTTGCAATCTCCTTTCGTGGAATTTGGATCTTCTTCATTGAAGGTGCCTGCGGGCTTTGCTACCAAAGTGCAACACTAAAGCTGAAAGCAATCGTTTCCTTGTCACTTGACAAATGCCTCTGGAACCATGGCTGTCATGGTAAAAAGCCTCCCTCAGGGGCTGGAAAACGTGCGAAACTGCCCTTTCTAAGGGAGAAATCACAGCCAAGCTGGCATTGTTTGTGGATATTTGTGGACATCATCCTAAGTCCAAATTGGTGGTCGGTGAGGCAACCAGCAAAGAACTTGCACAAGCGTATAAAAGCGTGCATTGATGATATGAGCTGGGATCGGTGCATTTTGAAGTGCACTTCGGTGCTTCAACCTATGTTTTTGCGTCTGCATTCATTGTGCATGCTGATTACATCCAATTACCCTGCAGACATCTGCAGACTGGAATGAACTTTGCAAAGGCTAAAGGCTGCGGGCACAAGGTGAGCGCTTGACAACTGGAGGATCTGGAGGAACCTTCGTCGCTTCGGTTCTGATCTCTGTGTTCGATGCTTTCACAGAAGCCATGAAAACTTCAAACTGTCTCAAACAGAGGGACTCTATCCCATGCACTTGGCAGTATATTGGCCGCCCAGCCCATTTCATAGAACGATTTGGCTTAACCATCCAGAAGCGATCAGGGCCGGGACAGCTTTCAGAGCCCGGAACATCCGGAACTGGAATGGTAAGTTGGTCGCATTCAGGCAGCTTACGCGATAGCAATGTTTCAATTTCCAAATTTGCCAACTCACCCGAACGATCGGAAAATGAAAGCGCAAGAGCGCTAGAATGGTGCTCTGCTCATGGGATCTACAATGGCTAGATCCAAAACTAAAGTGAATTCTTGTCCTAGAATTGTGCATGTCCGCCCGCTTGACGGCCAGACATCAAGCCAATACCAAGACCTTCGAAGCATAGCAACTTTATCACCTATCTATCTGTGTATGTATACATCTCTCTCTCTCTATTTATCCATTTGTTCATTTAATGTAATTTATATAAATGTATCTGTATATTCTATAGATATATATACAATATATATATACTATTATATACTGGTATGTTTTACGTCGGTTGGTAATCTTCAAGCACGATAATCACACCACAGGGGAATCACTCCTCTAAAATCTTTCCCAATTTTTGATCCATTCATATTCGTATCTATACTTTAGGCTGTCGCCTATGTCCTGGACTTGGCTTCGCTGTGCGCTCCTTCGTCTCTCATGGTGCTCATGCTAGTGGAGGAACCACCTTTGCAGTTTCCCACCATGTCCTCGAAACAGAAGCGAAAGACAAAAAGGGCCAGCAGACAGGACACCAAGAATTGAGATCGATCAACAAATTCCAAAACAAATGCATACCATGCGTTGTGCGAAAACACGCGCGCAGCCCTTTCCTGTCTTTGTGTGGATATGGAGGAGGTTTGACCCAAAGACAAATAACCGGCCTTACGATCTTGCTTGAAAAAATGTGGGCCGGGTTCGGTCACAGAGGTGGTTAGTGGTCGGCAGTGGGTAAGTGGGCGGTGAAGTCGCGAGAGTGTGAGGTGGTGATGGCCTGATGCAATAGTGGCTCTCTCGACGCAATTTGCTCATATTTGCTCCTTACCTACTAGTAGCGGCTGATTTAACTATGAAACCACCTCCAAAACGCAATGCAGCGTATGTATATACATGTCGTTTATACCAGAACCTGAGGAATTGGAACATGTCTTAAAACCAATAAAAGAGTGGAGGCCTTCGAACAGCTTCTAGATATTTCTAGATTCTAGAATTCCCCCTGGCCTACCAGCCGCTGTGGTTGGGGATGGCCGCATTTATCTCACAACAAGCTTGCAACAGCCATAATTTCAGTTGCAATGCATTTACTTCAATATCTTCAAATTTGGAAGCTGGTGTCCATGGGTGGAATTTGCATGCGCAAAGCAATCTATGGTGGACTATGTGGACTTCTGTGTGCCTTGGCACAGCGATGACAATGATGCTGCTGGCAATGGTGGTGACGAATTCGGTCGGTTGTGGTGGTGCTGCCATGCTGTAGTTCCTGCTCCCTATATACGAGATGGGCATAGAATCTTGAATGTCAAGGGTTTCCCGGCCTCCAGCATCCTATGTGCAGAATGTGCGAATACCAGTGCCAGTGACTGACGCATAGAAATTGATATATAATCAAATATCATCAATCACCAATTATCTACATGAAACATCCATACAATTCTGAACATTCCCACGCTCTTTTTCAAGTAATTACGCGTTGGAATCTGAATGAGTTGACCATAAGCGTGCAACTTTTTCCAGACCCACCTTCCGAAAAAATCATCGCTTCCCTTGACACGGCCACGTTCTTGAAGGTCCTCCCCCAGCACCACTGAAGTGCAATAGGTAAAGTAGAGAAAAACAACTCCCCTTCAGAAGTGTTGACATGGAATCAAGATGAATCAAGGACAACGTTTATGAACAGTGTGTCAGCACTGTCATCCTCCAAATGCTGTTCCACCAAATCTTGCGCCATCCTCAGCGTTTCCATCTGAGCTGATGAGAATTCCGAGGAACATGACACTGAATTCACGATATTTCAGCATCAGCTGAGCAAAAATTGTTTAGCATGCACAGAAACCCAACCATTTTTGAAGGATCTTATATAAATGACTTTAAAGAATCCATCTGAGATCACACATGTATATTCAAAAAATATACATACCGGTTATAGAAAAAATGTATGTACGTATGTACATATATACATACATACATGCATGCATGCAGACAGACAGACAGACAAACAAACATAAATACACACACATACACACATACACACATACATACATACGTACATACATACATACCTACATACCTACCTACATACCTACATACCTACATACCTACGTACCTACATACCTCCTTACCTACATACCTACATACCTACCTACATACCTACATACCTACATACCTACGTACCTACATACCTCCTTACCTACATACCTACTTACCTACTTACCTACTTACCTACATACACGTACATACATACATACATACATACATACATTACATACATACATACATACATACATACATACATACATACATTACATACCTGCTTACCTCCTTACATACAAACATACATGCATACACACATACATGCATACATACATACATACAGACAGACAGACAGACAGACAGACACACACACACATATATATATATATGAGCAATCTCGAAAACCCTAGGTTCACGGAAAGGACATCCACAAATTTGGGAAGGTCCCATCGCTTACCGCACGTTTGTACAATAATGATATATGGTAAACTTGGGGGGTATCGCTTGCAAGAAACTGCTACATTTTTTGGATTTTTTTTGTATATAATTCACAGAAATCAACGTCCAATTTGGGTATCGCTAATGTGGATATCAGAGAAATACAATGACATAACCTTGAAAATGGGTATCGCTAATTTGGGAAGGTCCCATCGCTTACCGTGGGTTTTTATCAATTTCCATCAATTTCCATAAACCAATGTCCGTCCAATACATATTTAGTATTGCCGGGGTTTTTGCGGTGGCTCATATATATACGTGCGTACGTACATACATACATACATACATAGATACAAAACATTACATACATACATAATTACATTACATTACGCTACATTACGTTACGTTACATTACATTACATTATATACATAACATATATTATATTACATACACTACATACATAACATAAATTAAATTACATACACTACATACATTACATACATTACATGCCTTACATACATTACATACATTACATACATTACATTCATAACATATATTATATTAATGTTGAGGTAGGATTAATAAAGCCCCCAAGTTAATCAAGCGCTTTTTCACCGGAAATTTTGGGGCAATACTAAAGTCCTCTACGTGCTGATTTCCCCCCCTAATAACACTGAAACACCCCCCAATTAATCATGCCCCTCCGGGATCCCCAAATTTTTGGTGGGACTAATTTGCTATTGCTCCCTTTTACTTTTTAATTCGGGTTACAATTTCCAGGCTTAATTAATGATCCTGCTGATGCAGCCAATTTTTTTTGCTGCACGGCTCATGTCTGCTGTCTCATGGTCTCTTTGCCCATGAGCAGCTGATGGATCCTCATGATTTCTATGAGAAAAGATGAGAAAAGATGAGAAAACCTATGATAAACCATCAGATTCCTATGAGAAAAGATGAGAAAACCTATGATAAACCATCAGATTCCTATGAGAAAAGATAAGAAAACTTATGATAAACCATCAGATTCCTATGAGAAAAGATGAGAAAACCTATGATAAACCATCAGATTCCTATGAGAAAAGATGAGAAAACCTATGATAAACCATCAGATTCCTATGGGAAAAGATGAGAAAACCTATGATAAACCATCAGATTCCTATGAGAAAAGATGAGAAACCTATGATAAACCATCAGATTCCTATGAGAAAAGATGAGAAAACCTATGATAAACCATCAGATTCCTATGAGAAAAGATGAGAAAACCTATGATAAACCATCAGATTCCTATGAGAAAAGATGAGAAAACCTATGATAAACCATCAGGTTCCTATGGGAAAAGATGAGAAAACCTATGATAAACCATCAGATTCCTATGAGAAACCCATAGGGATCTGATGGTTTACCCTAGGTTTTCTTATCTTTTCTCATAGGAATCTCATGGTTTACCATTCATTTTCGAATCTTCCCTCATAGGAATTTGATGGTTTCTACGTGGTTTCCTCATCTTCCCTCAAAGGAATTTGATGGTTTACCAAAGGTTTTCTGATCATGTCTCATTGGATTTTTGTATGGTTTACCATTAATTTTCGAATGTTTCCTCATAGGAATTTGATGGTTTCTACGTGGTTTCCTCATCTTCCCTCATAGGAATTTGATTGTTTACCAGAGGTTTTCTGATCATGTCTCATTGGAATTCTATGGTTTACCCTAGGTTTTCTCATCTTTTCTCATAGGAATCTCATGATTTACCATTCATTTTCGAATCTTCCCTCATAGGAATTTGATGGTTTCTACGTGGTTTCCTCATCTTCCCTCAAAGGATTTTGATGGTTAACCATAGGTTTTCTCATCTTTTCTCATAGGAATCTGATGGTTTATCATAGGTTTCCTCATCTTTTCTCATAGGAATCTGATGGTTTATCATAGGTTTTCTCATCTTTTCTCATAGGAATCTGATGGTTTACCATAGGTTTGCTTATCTTTTCTCATAGGAATCTGATCTTTCCTCATCCACCTCGCAAGTATGCTCTTGCAACGTGGCACGTTTTTAACTACTGCTACTACTACTACTACTCCTCCTCCTGCTGCTGCTTCTTCTACTGCTGTTACTACTGCTACTACTACTACTACTACTGCTACTACTGCTACTGCTGCTACTGCTACTACGGCTACTACTTCTACGACGACGACGACGTAATTTGATATGCACATATACAAGTGGATCCGGATAAGCCACAACCCAAAAAAAAGAGGGCATCTTGAAGGCACCCTCTATCAGTGCAAGGGCTGTGCTTTCAGGGGGTCGAAGCCGCACTATTGCCAAACACACTGGTTTCAGAGGTTTTTTGTGGGTTGGCTCATCACGTTGGGAAAAGGTGACTCTCTTTCATTGCAAGAGCTGTCCTTTCATTAGGTCGAAGCCGCGCTATTGCCAAACACATTGGTTTCAGAGGTTTTTTGTGGGTTGGCTCATCATGTTGGGAAGAGGTGACTCTCTTTCATTGCAAGAGCTGTGCTTTCATTAGGTCGAAGCCGCGCTAGTGCCAAACACACTGGTTTCAGAGGTTTTTTGGCTCATGATGATGGGAAAAGTTGACTTTTTATCGTTGCAAGAGCCTTTCGTGAGCTGGAGGCCACTACCAAAGGGTTGGGGAGGGTTATTTGGGGGGGTTTTATTAATTGGGGGGGTTGTTTGGGGGTTTGGCTGCGGGTTTGGTTGGGGGTTAGGGGGGTGTTGCGCATTGTGTTTTTGATTCCGGCAAACCCCTTCCAGGCCCAGTCAGTGGTTCTATAAAGCCATTTTTTGCCATTTAGGGCAAGCCCCCATGGCATAGTGGTATTGAATAGGCTTTGGGCCGATGGACCCAGGTTCGATTCCCGGCGGGTGCGTCTTGCAGCCCGGGGGTGGCACACAGCGGCTTAGATTCCCGGAGGGTGCGTCTTGCAGCCCGGGGGTGGCACACAGCTGGCTTGAATGCTTGTGTGTTGTGCCTCTTTCTCTGCCAATGTCTTGCTGTTATGTTAGCTACCTTTGCCTGCTTCTGGACATTGCCTCTAATTACTTCCAGTGGCTTTCTTTCATTGCAAAAGCTGTGCTTTCCGTACGTCGAAGCCGCACTATTGCCAGCACACTGGTTTCAGAGGTTTTTTGTGGGTTGGCTCATCATGTTGGGAAGAGGTGACTCTCTTTCATTGCAAGAGCTGTGTTTTCATTAGGTCGAAGCCGCGCTAATGCCAAACGCACTGGTTTCAGAGGTTTTTTGTGCGTTGGCTCATCACGTTGGGAAGAGGTGACTCTCTTTCATTGCAAGAGCTGTGCTTTCATTAGGTCGAAGCCGCGCTATTGCCAAACACACTGGTTTCAGAGGTTTCTTGTGGGTTGGCTCATCATGTTGGGAAGAGGTGACTCTCTTTCATTGCAAGAGCTGTGCTTTCAGTAGGTCGAGCCGCACTATTGCCAAACAGACTGGTTTCAGATGTTTTTTGTGAAGTTGCCATCAATTGGGCAATTAATTATTCAACAACTACATCAAGATTGCCTGATCTTTCCTCATCCACCTCGCAAGTATAATATACTTTTGCAATGTGGCAGTTTCAAGACGCCAAAACTGGAAAAAAACACATCCCCCAAATGATCGATTTCTAATTAAAGTCTAATTAAAAAATGCTGTTTTTGGGAGCTCAGAAAGGCTACCCCCCTTGAGCGGTGTCCCCCCCACAAATAAAAGGACGCCCCCCCCAATTAGTAAACCCCAGCCACCCGCGATGAGTTTTTTATATGCGTGCTTCAGACTGCAATCAATTAAGCAATGAATTAGTTCAACAACTATATCAACATTGCCTGATCTTTCCTCATCCACCTCGCAAGGACAATATATGTTTGCAATGTGGCAATTTCAAGACGCCAAAACTGGAAAATAAAACACATCCCCCAAATGATCGATTTCTAATTAAAATCTAATTAAAAAATGCTGTTTTTGGGAGCTCAGAAAGGCTACCCCCCTTGAGCGGTGTCCCCCCCACAAATAAAAGGAGCCCCCCCCAATTAGTAAACCCCAGCCAGCCGCGATGACTTTTTTATATGCGGTGCTTCAGATTGCAATCAATTAAGCAATGAATTGATTCAACAACTACATCAACATTGCCTGATCTTTCCTCATCCACCTCGCAAATATATTTTTGCAATGTGGCAATTTCAAGACGCCAAAACTGGAAAATAAAACGCATCCCCCAAATGATCGATTTCTAATTAAAATTTAA